GTTAAAAAACATACCAAACCCCTGTCTACAGTATAATAATCCTGGGTGTTTGAGAACAATAAATCAGCAATGAAGGATGCATGTTGATTGGTGTTTGATAAATGTTAAAGTTATATAGAATTAGTGTATTGCAGACAAAGCCAGGCTAGTGCATCATTGCTGATTTACTGATATGACAAAGTCAGAATGTTTGGGTTAAAAAGTTACTCATTTTGATTATTCCTGCTTAGAGTCCCTTGATTCTGCTTTTTTGATGTTTGATTCTTTTTTAAAAACAAATTCTCATTGATTTTGTTTTCTTTAAAAAACAAAACAAATGTAGGGTCAGCAGCTCAACAGTGTGAGCAGCAGTACAAAAAGTAATCAATCTACTTAAATAAATAAATGGGAATAAGAAAGTAATTATAGCTGTAATCTCACAAATTCATATTTTAGTAAGCAACTGTGCTTGCAGAATCATAGTTATGTTTTAGACTGTGATGAGTTTTAATGACCAATAAGCAAAACATTTGGTCCAAAATGCCAAATGCATTTTGCCAGTTTTGTTTTAGCTTTAATTCTACCATTATGAATGACACTTTGAAAAAGAATACCTTTCCAAAAAAAGTGAGTTACCATAGATAGTGAAAAATGTAGATGGATTTTATCTGTTTTTGAATGTTTTCTATTTTTTTTATTGTTAATTTATATAATCTCACCTTAAACTCTCAGAAACCTTGGACAGGAATGAAGTGAATTCTGTATAAATATAATGAACAGAATAAAAAGATCAAATTAGAAATCATACTTCCTCTGAATTCAGAGACTAATGAGGCAAAATCATAACAGTAATTGAAGTCAAATACTTGCTGTGCTTAAAATTGAAAGGTGGAGTAATCTTGTTGATGTAAGAAATTTTATACTGCAACTATTCAGGTGCAGAATTCAGGTCTGAGACAACAGGAAAGTTCATGAGAACTAATATTTCTTATATGAGAAATAAAATACATGTACTATGCTATCAAGTACTTGTGAAATTAAAATATGCGCACATCAAATAAAATAAAAATGCTCGCATTGCATTAACTGGATCATGGTGTTTCTGTATCTTGTGATTATAGCTTTCCTGAGCTACTAGTACTGAAACTAATGATGGGATGAGTCCCATTGTGTGCAGTTATTCAAGTGGGGTAGAGATGCTGAGTACTGAGAGTCCAGTACCAGGAGGCATGGCAGGAGGGAAGAAATGGAAAATTCCTGGTGTCAGGGAGGAAAATTAATAGTCAGTCGAAGAAAGTGTACAGAGAAATGTGAGGACTGGATGAGGGTGGAGATGAAATGAAGTGAAGTTGAGATTTTTCTGGGAGAGAAATGGCTGGCAAGAAAGAATTGTATAGAACAAATTAATTGCTGCTACATTTTTCAGTCATCTTTTTGCTGACTTTTTCCCTCCTGCAGGAGATTTGTATGAAGATAGCTCCAACCTTCAGAACTGAGTATATTATACAAATCCATGGTACAAATCCACATCTTGCATACTGTGTGCAGTTGTGGTCCCTACATCTCAAAAAGAATGTAGTAGAACTAGAAAAGGTACAGAGAAGGGCAGCCAAAATGATCATGGGTCTGGAACAGTTGCTGTACTAGGAGAGACTAAAAAGGCTAGGACTCTTCAGTTTGGAAAGGAGAAGGCTGAGGAGGGATATGATAGAGGTCTATAAAGTCATGAAGGGTGTGAACCAAGTGAACGGGGAACTGTTGTTTACCAAGTCCCAGAATACAAGAATTAGGGGGGATCCACTGAATTTAGTAGGTGATGGACTGAAAACCAACAAGAGGAAGTACTTTTTTATGCAACATGTAGTTAACTTATAGAATTCATTGCCACAGGAGGTAGTGGGGGCAGATAGTATAGTCAGATTAAAAAAGGGTCTGGATAAATTCATGGATGATAAATCTATTAATGTATGGCTTACAAACCTTTTCCTCAGCAGGACTCCATTTAAATAATGGAAATTTTTTGTGACCCCAAAATGATGCAGACAAGATCAACAAGTCATAAATATGGTATAACAATGCTTATGGTCTTCATATTTTTAATTTTAAATAATTTAAAATTATTTTTAGATTAAAAAAAACACCGTCTAAAGAAGGTATTAAATGCTTTTATTTGACATTTATTTCAATTGCTTTAACTGTGGATTATATTTACTGTGCTTCTACCCTATGCTTGACCATAGAGAGCAGTATTACGGGTTTTTTTGCTGACTTTTCCTCAAGCATAATTCTGACCCTGACAAGTGCAGTGGGCAGGACTAATGTTTCTTTGACAGTGAGAGGTTTCTTGCAGTGAGCAATGCAATAAATCACTTCAAATGAGGCCCTCTGTGACTGCACAGACATGGACAGAGTGGTCTTAAATTTTAATTTCTGGCAAGATAATTCCTTTTCCTATTGCTCGTAAAATGACCTTGGCTTTCCTTCATGTTCCCTGTGTTGTGAACTCAGATGACATTTAAGCTTGTTGGGTTTTATGCTTTCTACAGACAAAACAGCCTGGTACAAAACACACTGTGCCCTTTCTTTCCCACTCACCCAGTACTTGTAAATCCAAGCACAATGAGGGATTCATCAAATTTTCGCTTTCATGTCTTGTGCTCCTTTCCTTTCCCATACTCATCCTTGTCATTAGTTTTATTGCTAGAACTCAAAGCAGAAACTTTTGGAGAAAAGCATCCACGTTAGATTTGTCTGTCATGTAAAACATATTTAGGCCAGCATCAACCTACTGATTTTATGTCAGCTTCCTATAACGTGTAAGCACCTTGCACTGGATCTGCAATTATCGTGTGGAGATGAATAACTGCCATGGGCAAGAGCTGCATATTTATAAACAGGAAGTATATTCATCATAATACTGACCGATTCAGGCTGGACATAAGAAAGAACTTCTTCACTGTCCAAGCCCCCAAGGTTTGGAACAGACTGCCACCGGAGCCGGTTCAAGCACCCACTTTGAATGCCTTCAAGACACATTTGGATGCTTATCTTGCTGGGATCCTATGATCCCTGCTGACTTCCTGCCCCTGGGACAGGGGGCTGGACTCGATGATCCTCCGGGGTCCCTTCCAGCCCAAATGTCTATGAAAATAAATGGTCGACACTGTTGAGCATCTTTCCAACCTCATTTTTGATCATTGCAACCCCAAATGGGGTTGTGACTGCAAGGTTGGGAACTACTGTATTTATGGCTGTGGATCAGAATGGTTGGAGATGTTTCCTCTAGCACAATCACAGAGAAGTAGGGGTGGAAGGGCCCTCCAGGGGTCATCTAGTCCAACCTGCTGTATCTGTAGCTAAACCATCCCATACAACCATAAACTCTGCCATCAACCCTGACACAACACAGACCTCACCTAACACCCTAACCTGCCACAGGTAAGGTAGGGGACCAGAGGTTCAAGGAAGACCCTGTACAAGAGAGATGGACCAAAGGCAGGGGGATGCCAGACATCCTCCTCTTCCTGTGGGCAAGGTATATGAGCCAGATCTGCAAGCTGGCGACTGGTGCAGAGACCAAAATAGCCTGTCTACTCAAGTATCTTGCAGGTCACCTCCTAAGATGGTGGGGGGTGTGTGCACCAACCGAAGGGAGACTGTGGACCATGGAGCACCCCTGGTTCTACAGGATCCTGGATGAGTTCCGGGGCGAGTATGGGCTACCAAATCAATGCCCGGCTACCACATCCAGCCACAGAAAGATACAGAAGGTGGTCAGAGCCAGAGACAGGCTATCGACCGTGGAGCTGCTCCCCGAAGACAACTGCCAAGCTGTCTGGGAGCAGATCTTCCACAAGGACCTATGAAAGGACCACAGAGACCTGAACTGGCTAATAGCTCACCAGGCACCCCCAGCGAGGGTGCAGAGACACAGAGACTCAACACAGCTGCCCCAGGGAAATCTGCTAAGGCAAAACAGAGACCATTGACCACCTCTTATGGCTTTGACCATACACCAAGTGGGTGTGGAAAAAGGAAAACTGGCTCCACGAAGAGGTGACAGGGGTCAGGTGGATGACAAGGAAGGCAGTGCTGTATCGACACTTGGTCCAGGAACCTCCCGATGTACAGACTCATGGAGCTGGAGGAAACAGACTGCTAAAATGTTTCTGTGTGAACTCTAGTCCTACCACCAGAAATTGGTGGGAGAGGACAGAGAAGATGCAGCCAACTTCACCTGGCAAAGACCTCCCAAGAGGGGAAGTAGACAGGGGTAACCGAGAGGCCAGTGACAGAACCGGACCTGGAGTCAGCACCAATGACAGCAGTAGTAGTGGAAGCAACAGCCACAAGGACAGCAAACGGACTGAGAATGTAAACCCCAAAAGCAGGGCTAGGACCAAGAGACTGTGACTGGGCTAGGGCAGGGGTGCTCAAACTTTGTGATACTGCGACCCTTGAGTGCCGGATGGCAGCGGGGGACAGGGAACTCACACATGCCACCTGCTGCAGCCATTCACCACTCTGTGCTATCACCATGCACTGCTTCTCCGGGTGGGGGAAGTTTGCGGCCCCCTTTTAAGTTGTTCGGGACCCCGAGGCAGGTCATGACCCACAGTTTGAGACTCCGAGGGTTAGGGAAAGGACTGCGGGAGTGCGGGTTTATTGTAACAGGTGCGTGGGTTTTAAATATGGCGTAAGGTGTGTGAAGAAAAGATTTTGCTAGATGTTGTGTTTATAGTTCCAAAAAATCCCCAACAAACAGGTAAGCAGGGGAAGCAGGCCACGCAGCTCCTTCTCTATCGAGCGTGGCCCATGTGCCTCAGCAGGCCCCGGGAGATCACGTGCCCCTGCACGGCGCCACCAGTCACAGCGGGCCCCGGCGGCGGGAGGAGGCGCTTCCTGCTGCGCCCCACCCCCCGGGGGGCGGGGCCGCGTTCGGGGACTGAGCCTCCCTGGCGGTCGCTTGTCCCGCGCTGCGCGCCGTAGCCCGGAGGCGGAGCGGTTGGGGCCGGCCGAGCGCGAGCGGCAGTTGCTGGGGTGACGCGGCCCGGCGGGTGCTTGGGGCCATGGCTCTGAGCGGTGCGGACGGGGACGACTCGGCTCAGGAGGAGGGTGGGAGCCGTGAGCCTGACGTGATTGCCCAGGGAAGCGCCCTGGAGTGTTTCACGGAGGGTCCGGAGACCAGCGGCTTGATCCGCAACCTGCGTGGCGTCTGCGGGGACCTGGTGGCTCGCGAGACGGCCGTGGAGAAGTTCATAGGTGAGGGCGGATGCCCATCCATCTCCCCCATCCCCTCGCGTGAGGCCGCCTCCCGTGCTAGGAGCAGGGGCCGCGGGGCATGGAGCCCAGGGTGCTCAGCCCGGTCCCCGGAGCTCGCCAGCCGCCCGGAAATTTATGGGTGATTCATGTGCTTTTCCCCCCTCCTCCCCTCTGCCAAGTGTGAAGCCCCTTGCTGCTGGGCCGCACCCTCTTCCCCACGCAGTCGGGTTGGTCCCCCCATTCCCTGCACGGCTGAATTGGGCCCTTTTGGGGTGATCAGACCCAGCACTGCCATCCTAGACCCCCTGTCATCTGAGAGTGACTCGGAGGAAGGTTGGCCTCGTTGCTGACTTGCATCCCTTTCCAGAGAGATCTGTCTTCTCTGGTGGGGCTGGCACAGTTACATGGGATGTGGTGCAAAACCTTTCTGGTGCATCAAAAACACCGATCCAGAAAACACTGATTTTATAGTTACTCCTCAAATGACTTTGAGGACGTTAATTTGTATGCGTACAAATGGGTTCAGTCCTAGTCTCTATGAAGCTGTGAAACTGAGTAGCCCTGTTCATATTCAAGGCCTCTAATATCAGCACTGTGACAGTTCTCCTTCCTTTACTATTTCTGGTGTACTTTAAATGAAATACAGTTAGTTGCAAAGCAGACAGTTATGCTTTCACATAGCATGCAGACAGTGGGGCTGAAAGATGCTGTGCACCTAAGCAGTTTTACATACCTCACAGAAACCAGTATTTGGTACAAAGTAAGTAATGAGTGGCAAACCTGCTGTTTAGTGAATGATGTACTTACCTGGTATAGTGTACTTCGCTTGTGCCATAATATGTTACAAAGGTATGGAGCTGTAATTTTTTTTGTGATCTGATATCCTATAGGACATAGCTGGGGTGCTCAGCCTTCAGCTTGCAGGCCAAACGCAGCATGTGGGGAGCCCCGCAGGCCAGATGCAATGGTTCCACAAGTCAGAGAATTTGGCCGTGGGGGAGTGGTGGCCACTAATACAGCCACCCCCCCACCCCCCCCCAACTAATTCTCAAACCCCAAGACCCGCATGTCTGGTTGGAGTCAGGTTGTTCCCCTGCCCCTCCCCCCCCCCTTCCCCCTGACTGGGTTGGGGCTGGGCCACACGCCCTTTCCCCCAGGGGGCTGGGCCTAGGCTATACCCCTTTACTGTTACGAGCCAGGCCACACCCTGTTCCCCTCAAGAAGAGGGGGCAGGCCATGACCCTTTTTCTTTGTGGGGTTGGGGTAAGGCCAGGACGTGCCCCCATTCCCTTGGGGGCCAGGCCATGCCATGCCCCCTTTTCCCTGGAGGGGTGGGTTACATCCCTTTCCTTGTGCTTGTGGGGCTGGTGAAGCCTCCTTTCCTTGCTCTAGGGCTGTCCTGCTCCTCCCGTCCCCCTCCCATGTGGCTAGGTGCTGGCCACTCTGCCTCATTCACTGGACTGGAACCACTATCCTGTCTGCAGTTGGACCAGGCATTGCTCATCCAGTTGGCCGGAAGAAAAATGCTGAGCACCACTGGGATATAGGGACATATGTCAGGCTTCTACTCTAATGGGACTAAAGTGACAGTTGCCATAGCTGGTAAGTGCAACATGGGTGGATGAAGGATTTATGAGCTGGGTGAGCCAGATTGCACAGTAATGAGAGTCTTAAGGAAACATGGAAATAGTGAAAATGTGTCTTATGCACTTCTTCCATTATTTACGGAATGTCAGGTGACAAAAAAACACTTTTGGCTTACTTTTATGTTAAATTTGAGTTGATATATTTATCTATATTGTTTTGACATAATTGGTAAGGTTTATTAAGGTACCTTAATAAGGCACTTGGTATGCGCCTTACTATGTTCCATAGAAGACGAACATAGGAATGGAAGGGACCACAAACATCATTGAGTCCAATCCCCTGCAATTTCTGGCAACCACTTAATAGACATAAACATTTACTGTAGCCCTCCCCACATATCTTAAGTTGCAGCTCAACCCCAAAGAGTCCATAACAAACTGTATTTTTTTTTAGATTGAAGATCCTAAAAGTACCACTGAAAAACAGCAAGAGAAATTAAATGTGCCACCAAAGCCTTAACCTGCTCACCATATTGGCAGAGACTCAGTTCTGAGCAGGTGACAACAGTACACCAGTTAGGCACCTGATAAGCAGGGATCCTGGTTTTCCCTGATAAAAAATTGCAAATTTTCTGATAAAAAACTAAATTCTCTGATAAACCCTGCTAATCCATGATTAAAATTAAAAGCCCCCCACAGCTCCCCCAGCCCTGCTGGTGCTCCTCAGTCCCCCCACAACAGTCCCTCAGCCCCACACACTCAGGCACACATGCAGACAGACACAGATGCACACACACCAGCAGGTAAGCGTGTGTGTGGGGATGGGGTGGAGTGGAGTGGGAGAAAGGGAAGGGGCTTGGTGGAACCAGATTGAGAATTGGGGAGGGGGAGTATGTCTCTATGCCCGCAGCCAGGAGCAGGGGTGGGGGGGGCGAGGGCAGTGGTGCCCTTCTGTGGGCCACACACGTGCCATGTGGCTGGACGGGGGGGCAGGGGGGCTGCCACTGCCACACACCGCTAAGACCACTGCCACAGCTGCACCCTGTGCTGCTTTGGTGTGGCCAGTCACGTGCGGCTATATTTTTTTTAAATATAAAATGTGAAATCATAGCCTTGAAAAGTGTACTCTAAGTTTAGTCTTGCCAGTATTACAGTCTTGGAAGTCATTTCTGATTGCAGAATTGCAATATGGGCAAGCAAACTAGCAGGATGTTGAACGTTGTTTAATCTCTCCATTGTTGTAGGAATCAGTAGAGTTCATTGGATTGTAATTGCTGTATTTGTTCACATGCTTTCTTCATGGCTAAAATTGCCACTGACTGACTAGGCTATTAATTTTTATGAAAATTGTCTTTTACTACTAGATAGTACAGTGGTACTCAGTAGTGTTGTAAGAGCTAGTGTCAAGGTGGAGCAGATTGAGAAAACTTTGAAGTTGATTCCCATGTTTTATTTAGTTCTACAGTGCCATCTAGAGACATTCCAAGTGTATTGCTGTTAAACGTTACTTGCATCTAGGCTCTTAGTAGTAAAGAGAAGAACAAAAGTAAAGTAGCAAAGATGTAGAAAGCAGGATAATTTTTCAAAAAGAGAAAGGCAGTAAAAAGGAAGGATTAAGAATTCTCCTCCACTTCTATAGTCTTTTCCTCCCCAGCTTCCAAAATAAAGGAAATAGAGAAGAGGACATCTGAAGTTCCTTTGGCTACTCGGATAAGAATCTTGTGTTGCTTCAACGACTCTGTGATCATTGCTGAAATCTAATTCTCTTTTCTTCTGATGCTTTAGATTGGATTTAGTTTTTACTTTAATTTAAAGGTACTTTATTTATAGAGCTTGTGACAGGTTGCCTTTGTGGCATTATACATACTAAAATGCATAGTACAGGCTTTTGGGCAGAAGTCAGAATTTCCCTGAATTAAAAAATGTGGCCAAGATATAATATACAATATAGATAATGCACAGGATTTGATTCTAGAAATGATCCCTTTAGAAGGGTCTTGTAACTATTTCCAGCTGAACAGGCAGGCCATGACAAATATACTAGACCAAGGATCGGCAACCCTTAACCTGCAGAGTCGTTTGACCTGACTTCCAGATGTGGGGCTTCAGTGGTGGGCAGCAGGCACTTTCCATGTGTTGCTGTGGGGAGAAGTGGCAGTGGTGGCCTGGGTCCTAGTGCTAACTTCTGTTTAGCTTCCATGGGTAGATCTAGGAATTGGAAAAGCAGGAAGTGTGAGATGACTGGCTGCTGCAGGGGTGGCTACACCTCTTCCCCACCGCCCCCATTCCCAGGGCAGACCCTGCCTTAGCAACAGCTGCAGGGATTTCTTGGAGAGTCCCTGAAGCAGGTAAGACTCTCTCCCCTGCAGTGCAGCACCTCACCTACCCTTCCATTCCCTTCTCTCCTTCTCTATCAGGGTTGGCCCAGGATTGCCTCTGACCATAGGAAGAGGGGGATAAGTGCATGGTCGCTGTCCCTGGGCAACTTGGAAGGAGGGGGAAGCCCTAGGGCTGCTCCTGCCTGCTCCAGCCTGGGCTTCTGTGAGTGGCTGCTTGGGGTGCCAGGCTTGGCTGAGGACAGTAATGGTAGGTGGGTCTCCCCTTCCATAATCTTTCTCTTTGCCCAGTCCCCCTGGGTGACCTCTGTTGGGCAGGAGCAGGTGCTGGAGGGGGGACTGCCTGCTACTATCCCCATCTCAGCCCTGTACCCAGCAGCTGTATCCCTCAGGTTAGTGGGGGAAACTCAGTGGAGGGGAAGGTAGCAAAGCCCTATTTGCTGCTGCTGCTGTTGCTGCTCCTATGCCTGGGACCCTGAATAGGCACTCCCCACAGCCCCTAGCTACATAGGGGCAGAAGCCCTAAAAGGGCGGAAAGTAGATCCCAGGAATTACAGGCCAGTCAGCTTGACCTCAATCCCTGGTAAGATTCTCGAGAAAATTATCAAGAAGACCTTTCTGGTTGAGCTGGCTGAGGACAACATCCTGAGGGATAGCCAGCATGGGTTTGTCACAATTAGGTCTTGCCTGACCAATCTCATCTCCTTCTATGACCAGGTGATGCATCACCTGGACAAGGGAGAAGAGATTGATGTCATATACCTAGACTTTAAAAAAGCCTTTGATCTGGTGTCCCATGACCTCTTCACGGAAAAATTGACCAACTGTCACCTCGGCTACACCACAGTCCGATGGCTGGAAAATTGGCTCCGAGGTCGGACCCAGAGAGTAGTGGTCGATGGCAGCAAATCATTATGGTGCTCCATGACCAGTCAAGGCTCTGTCCTTGGACTGGTTCTCTAACATCTTTATCAATGATGCGGACATTGGTGTCAGAAGCTCACTGGCTAAGTTCGCTGATGACACTAAACTTTGGGGCACAGCGTCCACACCTGAGGACAGGCTAGTGATCCAGGCTGACTTGGATAAGCTTAGTAAGTGGGCAGACACAAACCTGATGACATTCAATACCGATAAATGTAAGGTACTTCACCTTGTGGGGGGGGGAACCGGCAGCATACTTATAGGCTTGGCAGTGCCATGCTTGCTAGCACCATTGCTGAAAGAGATGTGGGGATCACGATGAACCTGAGCCACCAATGCGATGTTGCAGCTGGCAAAGCAAACAAAGCCCTGGCTTGCATCTATAGATGCTTCTCAAGTAAATCTCAGGATGTCATATTCCCGCTGTACTTGGCCTTGGTGAGGTGCAGCTGGAGTACTGCATCCAGTTCTGCGCTCTGCAATTCAAGAAGGATGTCGAGAAGCTTGAGAGAGTCCAGAGGAGAGCCATGCACATGATCAGAGAGCAAGAGAACAGGCCTTATGAAGAGAGGCTGAGAGCCATGGGACTCTTCAGTCTGGAAAAGCGCAGGCTCAGGGGGGACCTGGTGGCTGCCTGTAGGTACACAAGGGGTGTTCATCAGGATCTGGGAGAACTTCTGTTCACCAGAGCACCCCAAGGAAAAACAAGGACCAACAGTCATAAACTCCTACAAGACCGTTTTAGGCTGGACATAAGAAAAAATTTCTTTACTGTCGCAGCCCCCAGGACCTGGAATAGATTCCCTTCAGAAGTGGTGCAGGCACCTACTCTGGACTCATTCAAGAAATGCTTGGATGCTTATCTTGCTGGGGTCCTTTGAACCTAGCTGACTTCCTGCCCCTGGGACAGGGGGCTGGACTTGATGATCTTTGAGGTCCCTTCCAGCCTTAATGTCTGTGAAATCTATGAAGCCATCCTAGGGCTTTTCCTGCCCCTGGCTCAGTTGGGGATAGTGGCTGTATCCCCCCTTTCTTCACGTGCTCAATGCTGGGTCTGCCTGGATCTGCCAGACTAGCCAGGGGCTCTGGCTGTCTCTCAGGGGAACCAGGAATCTAGGGCTGTAGGGAACTGCAGCCTCTGGCACATGAGGTGTGTTGTGTAATAGGCGTGTGACCACACCACTGCATCCCCTGCATCTGCCCCTGCCTGCCGCTGCCCTGAACTAAATCATTTTGGCTCACAGCCTAAAAAGGTTGTTGACCTCTGTCATGGGCAATAATGACTAGGACATTTTTTTCAGTCAACTGAGGGAAGGAAGGTCTTGTATATCAATTGTGGGAACAAATTGGCGTTGATTTTCTTATGAAAAGAGCTAGTAGCCCTTATAATTGTAAAAAACACCTTCCAAATCTGAAATGATGCTGAACTACAATGTCCAAATTCTGGTTTAATTACTGACCCTTAAGAGTTGAGCTATATGCATTGGCATTTCTCCAGGGGCTGGAGAGAGGTAGTTCTTTGAGTGGTGGAGCTCTTTTTGCTCTATGACTGCTTCTCCATACCTGTCCAGTGTCTATCCATCCTCAGTGTTGGAGGAGCCTTTACCATTTCCGATCTATTGATTGCTGTTGGACTCTTGTGGTAATGGATCCAGCAGCTTTGTTTCCGTCTCACTTGGAGTCTGTGATTGTGTATTTGTGGGATTTTTAGACTGACACCTGTTGATGGTGAGGGATGGAACAGAATGTAGTAGCTGGAGAATGGGTGGGTTTAGGATCAGGATTCAAGGAGATGTAAACAATAGGAAGGCAGGTGGGATATACAGAGCAAGGCTGGTTTGCTTGTAACAGTTCCAGTCCACACAGTATAGTAGTGTCCTCACTTTGCAACGCTCCATCAGAAATGTACCACTGCCAGCTTGGTCTTCTGGAAGAGAGAGCTATAGTGCGCTCTGCAATGGGGTCATGCAAAAAGGACCCCACATTTCTTCATCTGTCTGCGCTCTGAGGGTTGGCTTTTGGCAACATGAAAGATGCTCAGGCATGAATTTATGAATGTCTGTTGTTGGAACAGTAATGGATGGTAGTCATGAGTGAGATGCATGGTCTTAGTAATTTTTCTGATATATTCTATATGCATAAAGGTAGGGGTGTGTGTGTGTGTGTGTGTGTGTGTGTGTGTGTGTGTGTGTGTGTGTGTGTGTGTGTGTGTGTGTGTGTGTGTGTGTGT